TCGCACCGACGGGTAATTAGACGTGGAGAATTAGCTCGCGGATCGTTACGTGCGGCCAATAAAGGCGTGTCGGTTTGCGAAAAGTGTCGGTCCGACGTGACAGATTGCTAAACTTGCGCGACGCAAGTGTGAAATTGCGATTATTATTCCGCGCGTTATCCCAGAGTACACAGGCGCAGCCCTTTTCCGTGAAATCTATCGTTGTACAACGCATTTCATGACAATTATCGCTTTAATTCCGAGAGTAATTCAGCGAAATACTCGCAGCGAATGAAGCGCGCGTCACATTCTCACTCATTCTTATGGAATAAGTCGGCTGGGATTAATAAACAAGAGGCAAAAAATTATAATATGCAACTAACATCAGAAGAAGAACGAAAATTGTGATGAATGTCGCAAAAAAATGTCATATAATTATATAATTTTCAAAATTTCAACATGATTCAAATTTCAGACTAAAATATATGTGTAATGATATAACAGAAAAAAATTATTATGAATGCTTAGCTTTCACGTAATTTGATATTTTTAGTATCAGGTAATTTAATATTTTCAATTTGACCTGAGTCAGGTAAATTTTATTATTTTTAGCGAAAATTTTAAATCAAGAATTACCAGATATTTTTGAAAGAGAATCCAGAATTTTGTTAACATTCTTTACAAAATTTAACTTACAACGTATCTTTGATTTTTTAATATTATAATCCTGTGAAACAAGTTATATAATTACCTTCCTGTACATTACTTATATTTTTTCCTGACTTTTGTCGATTTACAATATTAGCTAATTTGATACTTTTGTTTAATTTCACGCGACAAATAATTATAAATCTTTCTAGTCAACAATTAATGATTTAAGACGACATATGTGGATTTTTTTCTAGCCAATAAGTCTTTTAGCTAAATAGCACCAATATTGTTTTTATCGCAAGTAGTAATAATCCAGTTTAATAGGGCAGGTGTAATGTTTCATCAAGCTGTCGCACGATGCAGTTTCTTCTTCTTCATCTCACTGGCACTCGTTGATTTTGGTGTTTTCTCATAAGGCCGCTGTTTCATTTTACGTGCATTGTATCAGGCACTCTCAGGATTAAACGAAAGATCATATTGTGGCTGCAATAAAGGGAAACGAGACGCTTCAAAATGTACACAATATACGTATATAGCACGTGTGTACTCGATTTGTTATGCTCTCGGCATCACATGTGTGGATGTATAAATCTGATCTTACATGTATATATGTAAAAACAAGCATATGTAGAATACTTTGTTCTCGTTTTGCCTGATAAGATTAACCCAGAAATTCCTCTTCGCTTCTTCGCTGCAAGTGGATTCCAAATCAACGACGATAGCATGGATATCTCTTGGAAAAATCAAAGAAGACACTTGGGATTCGAATCTTGGTCCGTTTAATTGGATTCCGCAAGTTCGATGCGGTATACTAGATCGCGATCCAGGAATTACTCGATAAAATTCTCTAGAAAAATTCGAATCAAAATATCGAATAAATTCTAATATACAGAATCACGAAAATATAATTATTCCTGACGAAATAGAAAAACTATAGCGAAAAATAAAGATTATATTAAAATTTAACACTAATAAAAATAATTAATTTAAATAAAAAAAAATGTAAAAATATAAAAATAATAAATTTAATACTAATTTAAATTCATACTTGTATAATAAACTAAATATGAAAAATTATACGTTATATATAATCACATTAATTATATAATAAATAGAGTAAGTGGTAAAATATCAACGATTTACTTTTTTGATTGAAATAAAAATTCAACTTGTCCACGACACAGTTACGTGTAAAATCACTTTTAATCATCGATACAATTACGAGGAAACGTGCTTCAAATTTCTTGGCGCGAATTTCCATCGTTTATCTCGATGCAGTTCCGGCTTAAAAAAGTATTTTCGTACTTTTATCAGCGTAAGAGAGGAATATAAATCGGAAGGGAACAAATGAAGCGAGAGAGGCATATCGGGCGGGAGAAATGAAAAGTCGCGATACGCGACACCTTACGTCGCAGCCGCGTTTCGCGAGCACCTTATCGCGAACGCAACGGCAATTTATTTGTTCGCCAAGAGAGAAAGAGAGAGAGAGAAAGAGAGAGAGGCGCCAATCTATGCTGATCAGGACTATGTATTCCACGACGCGTATGCTTCAACTGTCGCGGCCAAAGCTCTGGGAGAGTCGGGGATTTTTCCTTTTATACTCGCTGTCAAAGTCGCACGATGCACCATTTCCCGCGAAGCTCCCTCGCAGCCCGTGTAACGCATCCGACAAAATGTCGTTGCGCATTGTTGCGCAAGCGAAATCCCGTAGCCGTCAACCGTTCGGTCCCTCTGTTCTGTCTCTAAAATTCGCCGACGTTTTCGCGACAGACTTGATCGCTGTTTGATACCTACGCTTCGACTATTCGTCTCGTAATCTCAAGCTGCTGCCGTGAAACGAGATTTCGGCGTGTTTTCGCGCTCGAGAAAAATCGTTTGATTGTATCAATAAGACGTATATGATTGAAGGCATTTTGGTTAAATCAAACAAGAAATTTCTAGTTATCATGATAAGACTCGTTTTTTTATAACTAGAACGTTTAATAGATTTTACTATGCTGCCAGCTTGAATTATTTCACTCTCCCAGAAGTAATTGTGTTTTTATTACACAGTAATAATTTTAGGATTTTTTGGTGTATATTTTTTTCAGAAAAATTAGTGAATGAGAGTTTTCAGAAAATATCGAATATAGAGAAATAGATTATAATTACACTGAGAAAAATCATTTGATTGTATCAACAAGACGTATATGATTGAAGGCATTTTGGTTAAATCAAACAAGAAATTTCTAGTTATCATGATAAGACTCGTTTTTTTATAACTAGAACGTTTAATAGATTTTACTATAAGGATTTGGTTAGTATTTTCTGGTTGGATCTATAAAATTTCTCGTTACATTAATTTCTTTGCTTGCGGTGAGCCACTCTTAATTTAACTCGTATTCAATATTTGTCATAAAATGTATATAAAGAATTAGTATTAACATTAAATCCAAAGTATATTTTTTTTTCTCTTACGAGCAGTAATGCCAGAAAGAGGACGTTAACTCGTTGATTGTGTGTGTTTGAGCTGCATCCTCTTCTTGAATCACTGTTTATCAGTTTAATTTCTACCAAACTGAATTTAAAATAATTTATTCAATAATCTGGATTGAATTTATCCAATAATCTTGTTGGAATTCAGAATATTAAACAGACTTTTGAGATTAGATGGAAAAAATTTTAGACGACTTGGTGCTGGAAAGTTTAGTATTATTAACTAGAAAATTTGATAAATTTAACAGAAAGAAACTAATCAGATTCATCTGGTAATTCCTACAAGAATTCTGGTTCGTCCATTTTCCAACAGACATACTGATCGAATCTACCAGAATTCTAATTAATGCAACCAGATTTTTTTCCGAGTATGGATATTCGAAGCGAAGACGTAAGTCGACAATGCTACCGAATAAGTCCTCCAGACGAGAAAAAGCGAACACCTCATCTCATGCTTTGTTTACACGCTCAATTATTAGTCTATACTCATATCTCGATCTCCATTTAATGACGATTTAGATTGCTTTAGTATTAGAATTCAATTTATTTATTCGACACAGAGAGAGTCGAGATGACGAAAAGATGTCAGAAATAATCTTTGGAAGATTTTGGCAAGTTACTGACGACGTTAATATCCCCACGTGTTCATTTAATCTGCGATGACCTTGCGAGAATATCTGCGGGACATTAATTCCTCGGTATTTTGCAAGTAAAATTTATACAATGTTCAACGTATTAATCTTGATGGAATTCCATCGGCCCTCGTACATCGATCGTGGTAAAAAATACACCGAGGTCGCGGCGAACTTTTGCGCGGAACGAAATTGTCCTTTTAAACTTCGAGTTTTATAAGCATATAATTATAAAACTATATTGACGTTTGCTCCCTTTCACTCCGGCTTCCTTTTTCTCAACCTTGCAAAAATAGAGATATTCCATCCCCATTCATTATAATTAATATTTGTCGCAAAATAATTATATTTTCGAGATATTAAATTCTTTTTTCATTTGATCACATCGTTTGATATAAAATTATATTACTCCGATTACATCTTGCATTACATGATGAAATTTGAATGGAACGGCATCCTTCTTCGGCCATTGTTATAAATCTAGCCATTCAAGTGAATAAAGTCGATTGATGATAAGCAGACTGGTTCGATCGTCAGCCACCTGGAACGTGGAGAATGCGATAGACTTGTAGACTGAATTTTGAAATTCGCCTTCGGTTACACCGCACAATAGACATTGTACGGAGACCTGTATCTCTACCGGTCGTTTAACGTAAATAGCTACATGAACCGAAACAAAGGGCTCATCGAACTAACAATAAGCCTATATACGGTTGGCCAAACAGGTGTTTCCTGCCATGGCCCTTCGAATTACGTCACATTATCTGGATGAGTTATAGCGCATGGTAATTGCCATCGATCAAAATTGATCATATTTTTATCACGCGCATCAAATCTTTCCATTTCATTTAGTTTAATTAATGATGCTGGCAATATAGATTATGCAAATTGAGAAGCAAGACTTTATGATTCTAATTAATGCGGGAAAATATCATATTACCTCAAATATAGCACTATATCGTATATACATTATTTTGCGTGTATAAGTGTTTATAATTTTGCAATAAATCATTTACTTAAATATTATTTCTTTCCTTATCCTTAAATTTCTTCTATTATTTTTTTTTCTTTATTAAATATTATTCTTTTTTTTATCATGATATCGTTATAAAATTTATATATTGCAGAAATTTTTTTCCCCAAATGCTATTACATTCGGAAATTTATTTTGCGCTTTATATCAGCGCGCTACTCGAGGCTCCGCATGCTACACCCCTAGTTGCTATTTTCACTATCGCCCACGGGTTATTTATAACTGTAACGAATGTACGACAGACACGTTTCGTTGCCGGCGCGCAACTCCTACTTGATGGAAAATACATCTCAATCTAATTTATAACTGAATATCGCGTCAGGATGGCCCGCTCTAGCTTATCAAACTATTTAGTGTTACTGCTGTATCATGACTACGCGCATCGCAATTATTGCGTATCTTATTTTCGTATGCGATTATTAACTTCAATCGTTCACGAGTCGTTCCGTTCGTTGCGAAATTTTTGACGTTTAGATTCACCGCCGAGTTGCGAATTTGCTTGAGAAATTGTAAGTACAAAAAAAGCCTGTTTATTGAGACATAGATGGCGATTTTCTGTATCGACGTTTTTTCGTGAAATAATTTTTACATTTTCCTCAAACCGAACATTCTTAGTAAAATTCATAAAAATTTTCGTTTTCTCCTTTTCTCTCTTCCTGTCTCTCTCTCTCTCTCTCTCTCTCTCTCTTTTTTTTTAAGATATCATCTTGAAATAATTATCTAAAATTTTCTTTGCAAGGCTGCGTATGCAAGATAATATTTTTATAAAGTCATTTTTAAAAACGAAATTGGCATTAATTTATTTGTCTCTTACTAGACAAATATACATTACTTACTTTTTTTATTTATTTGTAATATGAATTTTTTACCAAATATGTAGTAGTCCTTTTTATATATATAAATAATCGAGGGCTCCGATGTACAATAATAATATTATAATAGCATGATTGTTGTGTAATTTAGATCAAATGATATATTAATTCTTCCGTTAAAGCTCACTAACGACGATACAAACTATCGATAACACATATCAGATAATTATAAATATTATAGATTTATCATATGTATCGTATTAATTGTCGAATCAAAGAGAACTATTAATAAAAATGCATTTTCTCTCTGCGTATATAAATATTAACTATGATAAATTGATTAAGATTAAATAAAATGCACAATAATTATTTATATTACATGTTTTATTTAATCGCATTATACATTTATCGTTTCACTCGTGAAAGTTATAATTATAAATGCAATGTCCAATTGCTGCAATTTGCGATTGTAATATAATGCTCCATTGTCTCTAAATGATAAACGTAATTAAATTCCTGTTATTTCAAACGCAATTAAAGGCTCAATATAATTAAAAAGATAATTTTTACAGGCAATTTGCGCGTATTTTATCAATTCTCGCATACGTCATATAATAATTATTTAAACCTTGATCACTCGACCGTCTAATTATTTTACTCGCAATTGGGTAAATTCCTAACTTATTAACTCGATGAGCGCTTTTATTATTATTAGTCCAATATTTATACATGCAACTTGTCAGACACTATCGGCCGTCGATTTTCATTGACAACCTGCAATTTTACAATATGCATATAACCCATGCCACCGCATTCATATTCATATGCGTGGAAAGGATAATTTATATCTACCGCGCTATACATTTTGACGACTTTATCTCCGGCATTCATTGTTCTCTCTTATAACGCGAATTGAACTAAAATTCATCATGGATATTTGCTTTACTGAATACCTTTGCAAAACGTCATTGTACGGTCCGTTAATTTTGCCGTAGTTGACATCACGGGCGTGCGTCAGATGATAGGTTACGAATTATTTGAATAATATCGATCCATAGTAGAGAATACGTAATATGCCCGAATGGATAATATATCCGCTCAATCGTTATCATTATATATATATATATATATATATATATATATATATATGTTATAATATTACATAACATTATCGACAAATGTATATGTTATAATATCCCCATAAAATAATAAATCTGTAATTCGACAAGTGTGCATAGAATACGTATAATATTTTGTCAAAATTATACATCGAGAAAGGAAATAATTTCCATAATAATCTATTATATCTCTTACATCTTTTACATTTTATGTATAAAAATGACATCACAATATAAAATTCTTTCGCTTCATAATTCTGTATTCTTTCATTTCATAATTTTGAGGTAATTCGGGACATTCAATTAATAAGATGAGTATTATACGATGTTATAGGACAGTATAAAATTGAAAAATTAATTGTTTCAGGATTATCGATTTATATTACTATTTATAAGAAGAAGATTAGGGATTATCGACTACTTTGTACGTATATCGTGTGTAACAATGACAATAATTATATGTAGACATTTTCGGTAACAATGGGTTCAAGTACAATTTCTAAAGTGAAAATAGCTCGAGCTTTAATCTCACTGACGTCGCGCAATCTTGAGAATTATATTCATCTTTAATGGTTCTTGAAATATTTAATTCAGCAGATATTAAAATTTGTCTAGAGGTTTCTAGTTTCTAACAATGGAGAATTATGCGGAATGTAATATGCGGCGAAATAACAATTCCGAGCTATAAATTAATAATATAGAATTAAATAAATAAATAAATTGTAAGTTTCAACAATTTTTTAAATTAAAATTTTATACGAGAAAAACATATTACGCTTATGATTCAAATAAAACTGGTAATATATGTATTTTTAAGTCATACTTCTATTATATCTTTCCATTTTATATTGTTGCATTATTCTTGGCCTATTTTATTTGACAGAAAGACGTTCCAGTGTCATTGTTAGAAGAGCCGGAAGTGGAATTTGAACAACCTAACGAGTAAGAGACAATTTTTCCGGCTGATAATACGAGTCTATATCTCTCTCTTCCTTTTTCTCTTTCTTTCTCATTATTTCTCCGGAATACACTTAATTATTATCTGTTTCATACTTTTCTTTAATTCGATTTAACTACTTCGCGATGCACCGACCATGTAGCAATTTTTCGCAATGTTGATTCTCTCTTTTATCTCTTTATTATACAACACAAAGGAAAGTATAAAAAAATTAACGCTCGCTCGCTTCGAAAGTAATTATTATTTCTAAAAATATAAATCAATATTTTTTATTTTTATTAATAAAGCACATCTTTCTAAGAAAAACAGGAGGAAAGATACTAATCTTGGCGCGCGATAAATCAAAGTAAAAAAAGAGATTTATATCCCATCGTAAAAAAGGAATTTTTTTCTTTAATAAATATTCTTAATCCGCTGACTCGCAAATTGATCAAGACCTTGACATAGGAGAAAGATTTCTATTTCTTCATATACGCATATAAATCTCCTCGAATCGTACCTCAAAAATAGTTTGATGATTGCTGATCATGATAATTTTAGTCCAAAGTGTAGGTTGAATGACGCAAGTCGAGAACGGTCGAAAAACAGGAAAGCCACCGTGTCGGGCTTTCCGTCTCTTGTCTACTCGCGAGACCTTTTTTCCCCGGATTGCGCAACACGGGTTGCAAACATCAAACCCTTGATATGTATTTTGTAAAAATCGAATCGTGCGTAAAGTTGCACTCGTGTCCGGCAAAAGCCGTTCCTTTTTCCCGCTATCATGTATGTACCGCGATCCAATTTCCCGTCCGACGCGCTCGCTCTACGTGGGATCATTGTTTATTTCCGCCAGCGCGTGACAGCGAAAAAAATGTGAGCGCCGAGAAATCTCCGATGCGATTCCGCGGGATTTGTAATATAAATTTGCACTATGGAGAAAATCAGGTTCCGTTGTTATTTTCCCCTCGCTCGTTTCGCTTTACGTCATTTTTTGAATATCGCGATACAATGAAACCCATCGGCGAAACACGGCCTGATATTTGCGGCGGTCGCGAACATGCTCGCTTAAATTTTTTTTTATTTTTAATGGGGTAACGCAACAAGTCCTCTCGTTGAAAGCGGAGAATTATAAATGGACCTGGTAAATAATCGTTGCAGATCGTTAAAAGTTTGATTGTAACTTGGAGTATTTTTTCGGAGCAACCAAAAAATAATCCCATTTTAGAAAAAAAAAATATAAATTATAAATAAAAATATATGAAGTGACTCCTATATATAATAATCAGTACTTAATCGGGCTTGAGGAGCAAAAAATAAAACTTTGAAGTTAAAAACGAACATATGAGTCAAATTTAATATAAGAAATACACTTTAAATAGGTTAACCTTAATCATATTATTTGTTCGCATACTAAAAATTAAAAATTAAAAGGTTATAATTTGATAAACTAATTTCGCACAAAATATTGACAAATCGAAAGTTCTATGTAAACGTTTCGGTTCTCGTCTGGATTCTCCTCAATACAATTAACAATGATAAACGGAAATTAATAAAATATTAAAAAATAAAATAAAAATAAAAGGTGAAGCTTTTTGTACGATTACATCTGAGTGTCGCAGCATATTCAGTTGTATGGACTCGAAATCAGGCTCTCATAATTGTAAGCGTCGACCATCTGGAGCTTGCTTGTCAATCTCAATAAATTATAAAAATATAAAAATATAAATTTAAAAAACATAAATACCTCGAATTCATCCTCTTATAATTAAACGAATCGATCAACTGTCTAAACGGAGATAATATTACGAAATCACGAGGGGAGGCAAGAATATTCGAATCTATGGAAACTCGACTATTAATATCAGATAATAGGTATGTGCATACATTTGCATAATCGCGGTTAACGCAACGCAAAAGCGATCGAAGTGGAGGAGGGAGAGAGAAGGCTATCTAATATCCACGACAATAGCGCATTTCCTGTTCACGCGAGTGTCAATATCAGCCGCCCCCGCACGTTTATTGTTTCCACTCGACTGTGGATCAAAACTTTGACTTTATCTGATACAAAGTAATGAGACAGGGAGGTCGTGCGATCGATGGAACGTCTCTACGCCGTGCCATCGGAAAAGCTGCGGGTTTGGATGGTTTGGCTTACCGGCGTCGGCGAGATAGCCGACGAGTGGCACCAATGGCTACGAGCGCACATTGATCTGATCGCGCGGATAGCCGAGCAGCGTCTTCAAACGGTCGCGAACAACGTCCCAGGAGGCATCAAGGAGATTGAATCCGTTGTAAGTATCGACGCTATTTCGATAAACCTCGATACTCGCGAGAGACGCCGGCCTGTCGAATCAACGTTGCGTTTTATACAGGGTATTTCGGGTGTTTAGAGACGAGCAATCTCTCGCGGGAATGCAGAGCAGGTAAAAGTAGTCGCACTAATTCCTGTAAAATTCTTATCCATAATGTCTCCATCGAGATATTTGTTTTTTCTCTAAAGTTAATATCTGTGAAGCATTTTTATATCACTCTGCAAATTTGAATAATTATTAATAATTATTTTTTTGTTAAGTAAGGATATTTAAAATGATCTCTAAGTCTTTGAAGCCAGTAAATTCCTTTTATATATTTTTAAGTATGCTTTAAAATTGTTTTTCTTGAAAAAGGTACTTTTGTTTCATTTTGTCAAAACTGTTTTCGAGAAAAACACGATCGATAGAAAATAGATGATATATTGATGAAATATTGATTTGAATAATTATTAATAATTATTTTTTTGTTAAGTAAAGATATTTAAAATGATCTCTTAACCTTTGAAGCCAGTAAATTCCTTTTATATATTTTTAAGTATGCTTTAAAATTTTTTTTCTTGAAAAGGGTACTCTTGTTTCATTTTGTCAAAACTGTTTTCGAGAAAAACAGGATCGATAGAAAATAGATAGATATGAAATATTGATTGGAATAATTACTAATAATTATTTTTTTGTTAAGTAAGGATATTTAAAATGATCTCTTAGCCTTTGAAGCCAGTAAATTCCTTTTATATATTTTTAAGTATGCTTTAAAATTTTTTTTCTTGAAAAGGATACTCTTGTTTCATTTTGTCAAAACTGTTTTCGAGAAAAACAGGATCGATAGAAAATAGATGATATGAAATATTGATTGGAATAATTACTAATAATTATTTTTTTGTTAAATAAGGATATTTAAAATGATCTCTTAGCCTTTGAAGCCAGTAAATTCCTTTTATATATTTTTAAGTATGTTTTAAAAATTTTTTTTTTGAAAAGGGTACTCTTGTTTCATTTTGTCAAAACTGTTTTCGAGAAAAACACGATCGATAGAAAATAGATGATATGAAATATTGATTTGAATAATTATTAATAATTATTTTTTTGTTAAGTAAGGATATTTAAAATGATCTCTTAGCCTTTGAAGCCAGTAAATTCCTTTTATATATTTTTAAGTATGTTTTAAAATTTTTTTTTTGAAAAGGGTACTCTTGTTTCATTTTGTCAAAACTGTTTTCGAGAAAAACACGATCGATAGAAAATAGATGATATGAAATATTGATTTGAATAATTATTAATAATTATTTTTTTGTTAAGTAGGGATATTTAAAATGATCTCTTAGCCTTTGAAGCCAATAAATTCCTTTTATATATTTTTAAGTATGCTTTAAAATTTTTTTTTTGAAAAGGGTACTCTTGTTTCATTTTGTCAAAACTGTTTTCGAGAAAAACACGATCGATAGAAAATAGATAGATATGAAATATTGATTGGGATAATTACTAATAATTATTTTTTTGTTAAGTAAGGATATTTAAAATGATCTCTTAGCCTTTGAAGCCAGTAAATTCCTTTTATATATTTTTAAGTATGCTTTAAAATTTTTTTTTGAAAAGGATACTCTTGTTTCATTTTGTTAAAACTGTTTTCGAGAAAAACGGGATCGATAGAAAATAGATGATATGAAATATTGATTTGAATAATTATTAATAATTCTTTTTTTGTTAAGTAAGGATATTTAAAATGATCTCTTAGCCTTTGAAGCCAATAAATTCCTTTTATATATTTTTAAGTATGCTTTAAAATTTTTTTTCTTGGAAAGGGTACTTTTGTTTCATTTTGTCAAAACTGTTTTTGAGAAAAACACGATCAATAGAAAATAGATGATATAAAATATTGATTTGAATAATTACTAATAATTATTTTTTTGTTAAGTAAGAATATTTAAAATGATCTTTTAGCCTTTGAAGCCAGTAAATTCCTTTTATATATTTTTAAGTATGTTTTAAAATTTTTTTTTTGAAAAGGGTACTCTTGTTTCATTTTGTCAAAACTGTTTTTGAGAAAAAAAGTTTCATTGAAACTTATGGGGTAATTTTTATCTACTCTACACGACGAGAGATTATCCACCGAAATATCCTGTATATATATTTAATTCAATTTTTCTTGCAATGAATTCTTAGAATGCGCACACACACGCACACACACAATTTTAAGTTAATATCTTTAAATCCCACTAATGGGGAGATTGGTGTGATTTAATTATGTAAATTTTCTGACAAAGAGTTTAGTTGGAAAAGAGTTTAGAGTAGAAAAAATTTAATCGGATAATCCTTCTTTATATCATTTATATCTGAGGAATTTAAAAAACGTCGAAACTTTAATTCTCGGTATTAAAGATTTATTAATTACTTACAAATTGTTTTTTGGAAGAATTTTATGAGATTACTAGAATAAAGTTTCCTCATGCATGTTTTTCTTTTCCTCGATATATTACACATCTGATTTCGAATTTTTCTGGAATATTGTTGCAATGTTGATACAGCCAGACAGCCGTGTAATGAGAAAGTCGACGTAATGCAACAATATGTGGAAGTTGATCGTATCGGATGTATTGTTTTAATATGAAGAGAGGAGAGGCCGCATGCATGCCGATTATAACGCACAATGCGTTTTAATCATTTATGTCATACAAATCTTGAAGAATAATGATTTCTACCGATATTGTCGCTTTTTCAGCTTCAATTACAGTTGGAATCATCTCAATACTTGAATCGAGAAGTAAAAAGTATATATTTTTTATTTTTATATATGTATATTTGCTATGCCTATTTTTTATTAATCTTATACAAAAAATGTAATATAAATAATTCATAAATCAACAATTATGCCATAGATAATATATTTTAATTAATAAAACGTGCAATTTTTAAATCTAATCTTCTCAAGTAATTTTTATATAACTGATATCATATAATCGTTATCTTCTATAATTTCACATTTTCTATTTGAGTTGCGGAATAAGGGTTTGAGCATTAAATCATCCAAAGTTTCCGTTATCATTTCGATAACGCTGACCATTGTTATTAGGATTCGCGAAAGAACGGCAATATATATCTCAACACGATACTAAATCATAGATTTTATCTTGAACGTACAGCGTGCTCATAATAAAAGATCGAGCTTTACCTCGATTAATCTCTTTCGCGTAATGACCTGTCAAAGTTTCTCTTACAGGTGTCTTTTCGCGCATCATGTATAGGTCGCTTTAATCGAAAGCATTATATCTTTATCTTATACGTGTTCTTTGATCGTTTGTCGCTGATCGAAGTGACGGGATTTGATAATTTACCAGATAATTGATCTCTTCATTAAAGACCTGTTATGATGAAAAATTACAGTTGCAAATATTTCGAATATGCGTGTGCGTATTGTAGCAATAAAAACAATTATCAACACGAACGAATTGCAATAAAATTACGAGGGGAAAGGGACGTTCGCTTAAAAATTTTGGGTCAGAAAGAAGAACGATATTTGCTACCAATATTTGGAGACGACATTTCGCAAATAGTACGATATCATGCATTTTCCACAAAATTGCAATATGTTACGTCTTAATATTTACCGAGCCGTATTTTGTGATTTAACGTCCATTCCTTCGAGCTATAACAGCGCAGAAACTTTAGAAATATTTCGTTTATTTTTTTTATAAATTTTTCTCCTCAGGCTAAAATATGTTTTGAGAGAAATAATACGCGACGAAAAAGAGAACGCGAGCGGAAAATTTTCAAGAGTACCTCGGCAACTATTTATTCGCCTCGTTTCTTTTCAATTTCGTTACACGAGATTTCATGATCTTAATGCAAGAGTGTTTATCTTTCGTTTCATAGACAAACGCTAAGTCGGAGGGAATCCTCGATAACGTGATGCCAAGAAAGGAAGAAAAGAGAGATGTATCCTTTAACGGTACGCGAAGATATCTGCGCATCTTTGCCGTATGTTAAAATCACCGTAAACATAAGATTGGAACAAAACTTTTAATTAAAAATACAAATTCATCTCTTAAATTTAGATTAAGCTTTTAATTTTTAATTAAAACTTTTTACATTATATGTAACTTTTATTTCAAATTTTTCACACTATAAATCGCTAAAAAAGTAACGAAACGAAATTTCAGGTAAATTCTTTAAAATATAAATAGTATAATGAAATTATTAAATGAAAAAGAAGTCATATTTTTAATGTACAAACGTAATCTCTAAAACCGCATGCATTGTTTCCCACGTTTTGAGTCACTCAGAGCTTTCACGTTATCCCAAACAGATTTTACATGGCTTTATAGTGGAGATTTTCAAGCGAGATATTAGCCGGTTAATATTCCGGGTGGGATTTTACATATTTAACATAATATCAAAGTTTCGCATTATATAAATTTCATGTAAAGCCAACTAAAATATGACACAAATGCTTACACGCATTTAGCCAAAATTGCGATCGTTATTAAAAAAAAGAGCTTATTTTCAAGACACAAGACATCCTCCTTTAATAAAGATCCTAATAAAAAATAAAAATAATAAAAAATGAAAAAAATAAAAAATAAAAATAATAAAAAATGAATTCGTATTTTTCATTTCGCGTCTCGATCTTTGAAGAGGAATCTCCGATTCAAGGGATGTCTTGTTGCGAAAAGGAAAATTCTCTTCGATCGTTGTCAAATGATGTTGCAATAATAATTTCAGTCAGGAAAGAGAACTCTTTTGTTACTTTAGATGAGGCCGGAATTAATGATGCAGCCACCAACGACACTTTATCCGCCGCGAAAGCATTATCGAGGAAACGAGTCGCTGAATCACCGGAAGCAACGGCTCGAGGCGAATCGAGCGCGAATGAAGACTCGTCACGAACTCACAACAATCCGACGACCTCTGGTAATCTCTTCGCGAGCGTGTGATATCGCGAGATTATTTCGAACACATGTAGAGGCAGATGGACCCTTCGTAAATGAAAGGGGGGTACCTGAAGAGGGCCGGAGTACATCCGACTCTCCGCTCTCGCAGGCAAATTTTATTCGTTTCAGCCGAAAAGTGAAACGAATATAAACAATTTGGGAGAGAATCTAATCTGAAAAAAACTGTAAAGCGAGATGAATCGTAAAAAGTACTGGGCGCTGTTGCTACAAATTTGAAATTACCCGCTCTTAGAGTTAAACAATCTTTGCGTGGTTCTCTCTGTCCCGCGGAATATAACTTGAAATATTTACATACACATTTCCCCTTGAATGAAGAATTATTGCGCGGAGCTTGACACAGTCGGCGCCCCGTGACTTCATATTCATCAGTTGTTTCCCTACAAATCCGTCAGGGTGGCTGTCGCGCTTAATCTGGCGCACCACCTGACGTACGGATTGCACGTGACGTTTCGCGTATTTCATTTCACCTGTGAGTCCGATGTACACGGCTGGCGCTGTCTGTACAATAGGATCTTCAGTATTGTCTGCAGGAATATTGGCTTTTGGTTGGAAGGAAGGAGGACAGGTGGGGGCGGAGAAGAGGAGAGCCTCGCGACGACGGCGATGGCGGATGCAAGTGAGACGGCTTGGCCGATAGGAACGAGGTGGCAGCCTTTGACTCGTTGTCCGATCGAGAAGAAAGCGGATCAGATGCAAACGATTCAGGTAACTTTATCCGGGGGGAGAGGGGAGGATTTCTCGTTCGCGTAATTCCCGTGCAGTCGTCGATCTCTCGACGTCTTTACGGGAGATGATCGAGAGAACCTCTCCCAAATGACGTGAATCGCTCACTCAGCTTTTCTTTGTTCCGCGATATGGCACAACGATCTGTGCGATCTTTATCGAGATTTCATTTATTTCCGCTAAATTTGCTCGTTTGTTAAATTTTTTTTTTACCTCAAGGGCTATTCGATTTAATCGAAAGACGGTTGTTGAATTTGCGCAGAGGCTCAAACTACCGCAGGACGAGGCAGAAAGGATCGAATTCCTGAAGAATTTCACGCATCAAGCCACCTTATACGGATCTTATTACAAGCATTGGAGAGAAACCGCTGATCAAGTAGCTCATAAAATATTTTCTTTTAATCTCACGATATAAGGGGCGTCCTGTTAATTCCGACTCCTTATTGATCACGGCGCGCTCGCGAATCTCATTATAGGAATACAAGGATTTTCTCGAAGAGATATCGAATTATATATTTCCTCGCCAACGCAAAAAGAATAATGAATAATAATTTGAATAATAATTTGAATAAAAATGAACTATTTTGTACCAACCGGTATTTAATTACGAATAGTTATTTTATCGATCTTATAATAATTTTCCAAGTCAGTTTTGTCGCTGTAATCTCAGTTTCGCACGATTGCGTCATTTCCATATAGCACAGAAATTTAAAGCATCATTGCTGCAATATTGCAACATTGTAATGTAATGTTGCAAGAATATAACATAATGTTATAATATTATTGTTATCAGCAATATTGCAACAACATTTTAAAATATATAATATGTGGCACGTGTTTCTTCGATTGCTATTTAATTTCTAATAAATTGATTTAACTTAAAAATAATTTATTTAATAAATAATATATGTAATAATTTCTTTAATAATTTATTTAATAAATAATTTCTTTAATAATTTATTTCATAAATAATTTATTTATCATTTATTTAATAATCTGGATCCCTTGTTTGGACTATTAAATAGATTGCTTGAAATTGGACGGATAAATAAGAAAGTCCATTTATTGAATTTTGCCGAGTATAGATATATATAATAATCGCATATAGATTATCAAGCTACATATTTTTAATAACACAATTTAATAAAAAATATTAATAGACAACATTTTTTAAACATTTTGTAAATGATCAATAGACTTCTAAATACAAGAACATCTTATAGAGGTCTAATACAAAAATATTAATTACACCAAACATTGTCAATTATTAATTTTGTTAATTATTAAGAAATATATTTACTAAAATATATATTTAAAATATATTTATTAAAATATATATTTAAAATGATTATATCCAATTTAAAATATATTGTTTCAATGTTGATGCAATGTTACCGATGTATGGGATTTATTAGCTCTTACAATTCAGATAAATTATAACGTTTGATGACACGTTCCGATCTCACGTGATCCTTAATACTTTCGCGACAGGCCGTAAAGGAAATTGCCGGCAGGACGGTGATGACCACAGCAAAATTTCGAGGAACGGGTGACAGCGAATCGACGTTGGACGTAGCAGCTTCGCAAGCTGCTCAATATTCAATGAAGCAACCTGAAAGCGCCGTCGCTCAAGCGATAGGAGGATCGACGGCTGCAACGGCGGAAACGCCGATGTCGAGCCGGATTGATCCCCCGACGACGGATGCACTTGGGCGGGACACCGTCGAGGTGTCGATAGCGTTATCGGATGATCAATCCAAAGTAGTTGAGCCGTCCACGAAGAAGGAGACGGCCGGAATGGAGCTTGAATTTCCCTCTGCGAAATCCGACGCCGTGTCCCCGTCTGTGGAATCGGAGGCGACATCGCAACCGGAAACGACGCTCAAGATACGGCCGACAATGGAGCCAATCGTTTCGATATCGCCGTCCGAGGCATTACTCGAGGTACGCAAACCCCCCCCCCCCCCCCCCCCCGTGATCGTTGACAAAAATAATATTGCTCCGAAAACTCTGTATACGTGCACTGAGAAAAAAATCTGGTTGCATTAATTAGAATTCTGGTAGATTCAACCAGTATGTCTGTTGGAAAATGGACGAACCAGAATTCTTGTAGGAATTACCAGATGAATCTGATTAATTTCTTCCTGTTAAATTTACCAAATTTTCTGGTTAATAATACTAAACTCCCCAGCACCAAGTCGTCTAAAATTTTTTCCATCTAATCTCAAAGGCCCATTTAATATTCTGAATTTCAACAAGATTATTGAATAAATTCAATCCAGATTAGTGAATAAATTATTTTTAATTCAGTTTGTTAGAAATTAAACTGATAAACAGTGATGCAAGAAGAGGATGCAGCTCAAACACACACAATCAGAGAGTTAGCGTCCTCTTTCTGACACTAGTGCTCGTAAGAGAAAAAAGTACATTGAGAAAAAATCTAGTTGCATTAATTAGAATTCTGGTAGATTCAACCAATATGTCTGTTGGAAAATGGACGAACCAGAATTCTTGTAGGAATTACCAGATGAATCTGATTAATTTCTTCCTGTTAAATTTATCAAATTTTCTGATTAATAATATTAAACTCGTCAGCACCAAGTCGTCTAAAATTTTTTTCATCTAATCTCAAAAATCTGTTCAATATTTTGAATTTTAACAAGATTATTGGATAAATTCAATCCAGATTAGTGAATAAATTATTTTAAATTCAATTTGTTAGAAATTAAATACTGATAAACAGTGATGCAAGAAGAGGATGCAGCTCAAACATACACAATCAGGGAGCTAGCGTCCTCTTTCTGACACTAGTGCTCGTAAGAGAAAAAAATACACTGAGAAAAAAATCTGGTCGCATTAATTAGAATTCTGGTAGATTCAACCAGTATGTTGGAAAATGGACGAACCAGAATTCTTGTAGGAATTACCAGATGAATCTGATTAATTTCTTCCTGTTAAATTTACCAAATTTTCTGGTTAATAATACTAAACTCCCCAGCACCAAGTCGTCTAAAATTTTTTCCATTTAATCTCAAAGGCCTGTTTAATATTCTGAATTTCAACAAGATTATTGGATAAATTCAATCCAGATTCGTGAATAAATTATTTTAAATTCAGTTTGTTAGAAATTAAACTGATAACAGTGATGCAAGAAGAAGATGCAGCTCAAACACACACAATCTTTTTGGCACTACTGCTCGTAAGAGAAAAAAAATTTACTTTGGATTTAATGTTAATACTAGTTCTTTATATACTATACATTTTATGGCAAATTTTAAGTTAAATTAAAATATGAGTTAAATTAAGAGTAGCTAACGGCAAGCAAAAAAATTAATGTAACAACAAATTTTATAGATCCAACCAGAAAATACTAACCAAATCTTTATATTAAAATCTATTAAACGTTCTAGTTATAAAAAATCGAGACTTATCATGATAACTAGAAATTCTTGTTTAATTTAACCAAAATGCCTTCAATCATATACGTCTTGTTGGTACAATCAAACGACTTTTCTCAGTGTATCTAACATTGTTTCTTTTCCATTCAAGAAAATTAAATCTTAATTCATAAAAATATATTTTTCTTGATTAAACTGTATAAAATAGCTTCATTCAAGTAAGCAATTATTCAAGCAATTATATTTTTCTTCAATTAACGCAATATAATCTCATTTCAAGATTTCCAAACTAAATATTGTTAAAACTAAATATATCTTCAAAACAAAAATGGCTTTTTTTCTGTACAGCTATATCAATATATTTGATATGTATCATAGTTTTCGGGATATTACGGGGAGCTTTTCCCGATAAGGGCAGATTGTTCATGCAGATAATATAGATTCCCAGTAATTTTGTGAGCTGATCGTATATTGTTGAGTGTGTTACAAACAAATCATTAATCTCTTAAACTCGATATCGGTCCAACGTTTCACTGATGGAATGTGGATACTAAATAAACACGTTACACTCACTGTTACACTAACGTAAGCGGAGACGATGATAAATTGACATTGTCTATCATCTTCCAACTCGCGGCTGGGAACAATTTGCCATGCATTGTATTTACAAATATCAAAGGATGGACAGCGCGTTATCCAATCATCAGCATAAAATTTCCATCTCGATATACATATTCCTCTGAAATGATGGCGATAACATGACTATAATACAATCTATGATATGACAATTTAAAATTTAAATCAAGTACACGTGTAAGCTTGCGAATTCATTCTCTCCTTCTTTCTCATTCTCCCTGTTTTTTCGTAAAAAGAAATGTAAAATATAATATAAGATTTGCACAATGTCCTATTCCGGGCTATTTAAAGGGGATATTCTCAAATATTCCTCCGCGAATGTTCGCTCAACACGAAAAGCAGCTCGTGCGATCGTCGCCTCGTTACGCAATTAGTGCAAGCCACGTCATTGACATTTAAACAGCCGATAGATGGATTGCGGTAGCAGAAACTTAGTTTTACTTCTGCATAGCGAGTAAAGTGGTGCTATCAAACGTAACGATTGATTGCAGCGAACTAATAGCGGTCTGATTGATTGCCGTAATGCTATTCGAATGTTCGCCGTCGCTTTCGAACGTTGACCAGTGTCTGCGTCACTGTCAACATCAATTTCGTATGTATCTCGAAATCGCACGCGGGACACCAAATTTCAAGATATTTTCGATCCTCGATATCATTCATACGACGTCACCACGATCTCATTTCCGGCTCGGTATCTAACATTAATTCTCAACTTTCATCGTGGTGGATGATTGTTCCACACATTCATTCCCCATCGCTGTCATAAATCTGCATACATTCCGCATAATTCGGCATAGAATTATTTTAAAGAGATTTTCTGAGATATTAGATATTATATTAGATTTTAGAGATATTTTTTTCTTTCTCTCTGACTTATATTTTGAAAAATTTTTTGCGGAACAATATGTCGATTACTCTTGTATTTCCCTAACTCTCTTTACATAGAAAAAGTTTCGGGAAATAAATCTTTTTTTTATTTCCCGATAACATGTGACATTAAATAGAGTTAGAAAAAACGTTAGACGTATTTACATCGCTCCCTATGTGCATAGCTGGCAAGTTTCATCAAAGGTTTCTACGTGGACTGCGGTTTGTAAACACTTCCTGCAACATTTCGCCGGCTACACGCAACGTCACACTGAGAAAAATCGTTTGATTGTACCAACAAGACGTATATGATTGAAGGCATTTTGCTTAAATCAAACAAGAACTTCTAGTTATCACGATAAGACTCGATTTTTTGTAACTAGAACTTTAATAGATTTTACTATAAGGATTTAGTTAGCATTTTCTGGTACGATCCATAAAATTTCTTGTTACATTAATTTCTTTGCTTGCCGTTAGTTACTCTTAATTTAACTCATATTCAAACTTTGCTATAAAATATATATAAAGAACTAGTATTAACATTAAATCCAAAGTATATTTTTTTTCTCTTACGAGCAGTAGTGTCAGAAAGAGGACGCTGGCTCTCTGATTGTGTGTGTTTGAGCTGCATCCTCTTCTTGCATCACTGTTTATCAGTTTAATTTCTAACAAACTGAATTGAAAATAATTTATTCAATAATCTGGATTGAATTTATCCAATAATCTTGTTGGACTTCAAAATATTAAACAGACTTTTGAAATTAGATGGAAAAAATTTTAGATGACTTGGTGCTGGCGAGTTTAGTATTATTAACCAGAAAATTTAGTAAATTTAACAGGAAGAAATTAATCAGATTTATCTGATAATTCCTACAATAATTCTGGTTCGTCTATTTTCCAACAGACATACTGGTTGAATCTACCAGAATTCTAATTAATGCAACCAGATTTTTTTCTCAGTGTAGAAAATAACATTTTCAAATCAAAGGTTATAATTTTCAACATTATAATTTTCTTAAAGTATAATTAAATAATTATATATTCTTGAGGTGACAATTACAATATTAAAATAAGACTGTAATATTGTTGAAATTTAAAATTATTAAATTCTTCTAAGAAGATTATAAATTGTTGCATATATACAAAACAATGAACGCATTAGTTTAAGTATATAAGTTTTGATTTGACACTTTTTTTTCTGTGTGTAACAAATTTATTCAAATTTACATTTATAATATATTGAATACATATCAGAGAAGTTTTGTGCGATATATCAAGAGCTTAAATCTTAATTTAAAATTTTAAAATCCTTCCTTTCACGTCGTAAATAACATAAGGTTATGTATTTTTGAATTATATGATAGTAATTTTGCTCATATGCGAAACTAACAGTGTGTTTAATTACAGCAAGAGGCAGTAGCGAAACGTAAAGCAGCCGAAAAACTGCTAGGAGATATGGCACGAGCCGAAGAAGATATCCCATATTTCTTCTATTTGAAGGCAGAACCCGATATGGATATTGCAATCCGGTATAATGACGAAAAGGTAATACCACCGGATCTTGATCGTGAAAGTATCTCCGTCAATCGCAGACATCTGTATTTTAATCTGACCGATGAACTCGGCAGAGATGAATAATCTCGGTTATAAAGAGCTTATTAACAATTCTAATGTATTCTCGCCCTTCTCTCAAAAAATTAATAAATAAAAATCTAATATATTACTGAGAGAAAGAAAGAGAAAATGTATAATGTAAATAATAATGCGTAAAAAGATTTATAAAAGAAATTAATTAATAAAAAAAGAATATAAATTAATGGAAAAAGAATATATTGCTAACACAAAATGTATATATAATTTATACGATATGAAGAAAATAAATACAAAAAAAAACGAAATATATTCTCTCTTAATTTTTCTTTCCATTTTAGGTGCTTATTAAAAATTTTAATGTATTCTCGCCCTTCTGAAAAAAACTAATAAATAAAAACCTAATTTATTACTGAGAAAAAGAGAAAGGCAAAATGCATACTGTAAACGTATGTGCAAAAAAATTAATAAAATTAATATTAAATGAAGAAGGAAGAAACTATATTGCTAACGCAAAATTTGCCTATTAAACTATAAAAATAATAAAAGAAAAGATGACGAAATACATTCGTTCTTAATTTTCCTTTCTATTTTAAGAGCTTGTTAAAAATTTTAATGCAATAAAAATTCTCGTCCTTTCTTTAGAAGAAAAAAGAAAATAAAAAAATATATTATTTGTTATTTACCGAGAAAGAAAGAAGAAAGAGACAAAATACTATAAACAAGGGAAAATTAATAAAAAAGAATATATTGCAAACGTAAGATGTATACTGTACACGAATTTATATAGCATGTCCACATTTCATATTTATTCTTATGAGAAATAAAGCGCACTGGACGCGGTTAAATAAAATATGAGCAGCATGCGCAGGAATCTTCGCAAGCGTGATAATCTCTACAGAAGTTGCGGGATTAAAGCGACTTCGCCAAGTCGAAATGCCCGTTACGGGAATGTTGCTGCAATCTCTGTAGCGTGTACCCGTGTAATCCGTCGCAGTGCGGAGCACGAGACGACCAGGGGCGCGTACTTAAATTATGGCAGCCGGCTATCAACGTGCTCCCGCAGCAAAAATATGTGAGCGTTACTATGGCGATGATAAAGAACGTGGTTCGCGGCCAAATCCGACCTCACCGTTAGTTTCCTCCTCAAAAGCGGCGGCGGACATACGTACACTCGACGCTAAGTGAAATCAGCGAATCCACTGAAAGAACACAGTTTAAATCTCCATATTTTAATGGCTTATCAAGAGCTTCTTTCTGCATCTCTGTCTCCCTCTCTCTCTCTCTCTCTCCCCCCCGTTCTATTCAACTCGAGATTCATTTATTCCATTTAACAGAGTTATTTCCCTTTGTCAGTGGAAAAGCCCGTAATTTGTCAGACGGCGCACTATAATCGCGGAGGATATTTACCCCTTCGGTAATCGCGGATATATTTTCTTCAATCCCGCGCAGCGGGGAAATACAGGGCTCGAGGAATTTAATGTTTCTCAATTTATCTGTATGTCGATAAGGCCCGTTTGTGTGTGGACCGCAGATTGTCGTACCGCAACGCATACGTTAGCTGAACGTTTATCTTTCGTACAAGCGCCGCGCCGTGCTTGCGTATGGTAACTCTCATTTAGAACAATGTTTCTCTAAGCTATGCTTCTAACATCCTTCAATGGTGCGGTAGTTTGTGGTATTATTGCGGCTTGTTTCCGTCTAAAGTGGCAAATAAACGCACGACGCCGAGTTACACAGTCTTCGTTTTATTAAATGAAAATTATTATAAACTTCCAAGTATTTAATTTTCAATAAAGAGTGTAATTAAAATATTCATAAAAAGCGGAGACACGATATAAATGCAATTTCAAAAGCGATAATTATATTTAGTATTGTATGGAGTCTATGACGTCATGTAACATCGATGAAAGCAATTGTATATTGATATAAAATGTGATTCTATTTTTATATTTATTTATACAAATGTTATACTGGGACCAAATATAATTATTTCTGACAAATAAATTTTGTAAAGGCAATAATTATACTTAGCGTTATATTGAATGTATGACGTTATATGGATGTAAAATAACAATTATTATATTAATATAAAATATGGTTCTATTTATATTTTTATGTAATTTTTATATTTTTATAATATTTAAATTACATATTTATATAAGTACATGTAATTTATAATATTTTTATTTACACATCTATTTTATTTATATGTAATATATTTACATATTCTTATTTATATATATATTTATAAAAATATATTGGGAAATTGATTGCCATCAAAAGCTTGTTGATTATGTTATCAGATTTACACTGTTGGCGATATAACGGAGACTTATTAACAAAGGGACGGATATATTATGCCATTTTTCAGAATAGGAAAGAAGAGCTAGGGAGGAAAAGGAACGCCTCAACAATCTATTCGTTTCATGTAGGTCCGGCATATATCATTTTAGATAACTATACCGAACGTATAGTGGCCGAAAGCAGCGGCCAGTAGTAAGTGGGTGTAAATAATGCAGTCCAGCCGTCCGCAACGTGACGCGTTTGTCACTGAGGGGGTGGAAGAGAAAAGGGGGAGAAGGGACTTTGCCCTTTTTAGCATGCTTGTACATATACCACGTGGACGCCGCATATGCGGTTTGCATTTATTTTACATGACTTTATCTTTTATTATAAATATAAAAACAAGCCGTGTATAAAATGTGTCCCCGCAGACCTGTGTGGGCCGCCTTCCATTCGTTGATTTCTTGACCATACAGAATTTTCATGCAGCAAAAAAATGTTGACGGAGGTCACGAATATTCGTAAATATATCATTCTCTCGCGTCAAAAGGTAACTATTTCTGTAACCTTCAAATTAGCTCCGTTAAAATTATATATTTATTTTTATTTATATTTTTATTTATTTATATTTATTTATTTGAAATTATATATATAAACAAAAAAATTCGTTTTAATATTAATATTGTATATCAAAAAAACTATCGCGCACAGTTTTAATAAAGAAAAAAAGTTTCTCAAATGTACATAAAGATAAATTGTATGATTATTAGGTCTGTGACTGCGCGTTTCTGCTACCCTATTTTCGGCCTGTCCAGAACTTACGATGTAATAATGGAACCGTGCACAATATTAATGTGGATGAGAAGGAGAAAGGAAGTAACATGTAACGAGAGCTTCCGGTGAAATCTAATACAACACGCGAGGGACTTTGAGGGCGACCTAAGCTAAGCTTCATCGGTTCTGAGTATCGCGTAACATAGCGACGGAGCGTCTTATAATGACTCGCAATTAACATTCAGCTCAAATTTTTAGACGTCTTCAGCTCTCATTTGCCGATTAATGAATTTAATTTACCGTCGTGTAAAATCACCCAGGAAGGACGACAGTCTCTCGAAAACTCGTCGGAGACGAAGAAAATATCGCCAAGTAGAAGGGAAATGAGGATGAATACATAATTATTTAATGCGCCTTGCTTCTCGCGGAGAACTTCGCATAATAAACGGTTGATTGCTCGAATACTCGGAAATATATTAACAGTAATGGAAAAATAATAATCTAATAAAACTAATCGTCGAAAAAAAACCAATAAAGCTATCGCAATTGCAACTGCGGCGATTTCAGGATTTTGTATATATTTCCAAAATATTGAGAATTTAATGAAAATTGTACAGAATGTCCTCACATATGTTTAGAATCTTTAGTACAATTTTTAAATCAATTCACTAAAGCGTTCACAAGTTATAAGGATTTTAATTTGCACCGAATTAACATGTGTTCTTATGGGAAACGTATAATCACGTCGATTCAAATGACAAAAACACATGGAAATAATATTCAGAATTTGTTTAAAATTTGCAAAAGTTTAGATACAGAGGAAATATTTGGTCGAATAATATTAGACAAGTATTAACTGGTTAAAAAGATATTAAATATAATTTAATGAAGTTAGGCATATACGAGTATCTGTCACAAGGCGAAATTCTCTGTCAAAAGTTAATCATTTCGATTAAGAATGTTTTGTACCTATTTCCAAAATATTGAGAATTTAATGAAAATTGTACAGAATGTCCTCACATATGTTTAGAATCTTTAGTACAATTTTTAAATCAATTCACTAAAGCGTTCACAAGTTATAAGGATTTTAATTTGCACCGAATTAACATGTGTTCTTATGGGAAACGTATAACCACGTCGATTCAAATGACAAAAACACATGGAAATAATATTCAGAATTTGTTTAAAATTTGCAAAAGTTTAGATACAGAGGAAATATTTGGTCGAATAATATTAGACAAGTATTAACTGGTTAAAAAGATATTAAATATAATTTAATGAAGTTAGGCATATACGAGTATCTGTCACAAGGCGAAATTCTCTGTCAAAAGTTAATCATTTCGATTAAGAATGTTTTGTACCTATTTCCAAAATATTGAGAATTTAATGAAAATTGTACAGAATGTCCTCACATATGTTTAGAATCTTTAGTACAATTTTTAAATCGATTCACTAAAGCGTTCACAAGTTATAAGGATTTTAATTTGCACCGAATTAACATGTGTTTTTATGAAAAACGTATAACCACGTCGATTCAAATGATAAAAACACATGGAAATAATATTCAGAATTTATTTAAAATTTGCAAAAGTTTAGATACAGAGGAAATATTCGAATAATTATACAAGTACTAACTGGTTAAAAAGATATTAAATATTTAATGAAGTTAGGCATGTATCCGTCACAAGGCGAAATTCTCTGCCGAAAGTTAATCATTTCGATTAACAAAATTCGGAATATTTCAGTAAAAACGCAATAAATATTAAAAAATACATCTCTGCACTGTAGCTAAGATCAAATTATAATATTCCACACAATTTATCATACTTAAAATACACCAAAAGTGGATATTTGTCAATATTGATTTTCAGCTACTTTTTGCTGGGATATACATACAAAACATCCTTAATAAAACTGCGATAGGCGCAATTGCGGTAACTGCGGAGATAAATTTATACGTATGGTATACGAAAGTGGACCAAAATGGAGGGCATGCAGATAGAGTGCGGAAAAGTTTTTCGGCAAATTGGATTTATTAACTGAACGAGTATGAAACAT